AGCTTCGAAGTTTTTTTTGATCGTCATTAAAAAGAAAAAGAAAGAAAAAAAGTATACATTTATACATATGTGCGAGCTATAACCGCGAGTCTTTTCTGCATTTAAATTTAATTTTTTGCTTGCTCATTTGAATGAATTAACTCGTGAGATCGCGCAAATAAGCAATAAAGAAAAAAAAAAAAAAAAAAAAAAAAATGATGCGTGTAAAATTTCCCGATCGCAAGTGAAATCTTGCATCGAGAATAATGGATGATAAACGCGCTGGTTGAGTTGGTCGATATGATATTATGCAATGCAGTGATACTGAACGCAATAATAGAAATGCTAGGAATTATATGCAGATTAAGAAAGAAAAATGGAAAAAGAGAGAGAGAGCGAGAGAGAGAGAGAGAGAGAGAGAGAGAAATGAAAGAATCGATATCGAATGTTTTCGCATTGAAATATATTAAAATGGATTATTCTCTGTTTCATGTACACATGTTGCGCTCTGCGGAGTGGATAATCAAATCAGTATTCAGAATCAAAAAGATCAACGGTAATGAGCGTTTACCGTGCATATTAGAGATTCATTGAACAATGTAAAGTTAACCGGGAATCACGATTCAATGACAATATAGCTGTATTTTCCCCCAACATGCAAGGAATTGTTTTCATCGTGCCGGAAACAGAATTTGTAATATATTATATTATAATAACGCTCTACTGTACTACGTCCGTCGTTTTCTCAACCCCCGGGAATATTGTTCTCGTATACGTTCATCTTCTTTTTCTTTCACGAAGCAATCACAACTATCGCTGTAGCAACGCCACGCTTATCCTGTTTATCATGTCGCGAATTTTTAAGGATCGAGCCGGATGAGTTAACGAGCAAAACGGTCTGCTCTTCGGTACACAGAGGGGTTATACATATATAAAGAATTATATTACTTACAGTTGACTCTATAACGAATTGTAAAAGTATTAAAGTAGTATTAATCACAAGACTGAACAAAAAATGAAATAATAGTTGCTGTGTGGTTAAATTGTAGGAAATATCTAAAGAAGCTAGATTTATATATAATTTTCCGATTAACCTCTGTTTTTATCCGGAGAGACTATTCCTCTCCCTTTTATATATGTTTTTTTTTTTTTCTGCATTCCGTGTGTCGAACGTGTTCTGTGTCTTCTATAATATCGTAGATATGACGAGACGTTGAAAGCATAAAAAAAAGGAAAAAAAAAAAATGATAAAAAAGAAAAAAAAAGAAAGAAAAAAGAATATTAGGTATTTGCTCTGCTTGGTAAATTTGAAAGATACCAAGCCAAAGCTCTGTCCAAGCTCTCGAATTTCATATGCTTAATTATACGTTACACGAGAACTCGTAGTCTCCATACGAATGATTTATAGAACACGACACGAAGGATACTTAATCGAGCGAAAATGAATATTATCGAAAATCAAGATTATCCGAGCATAGAATTAAACGATCGATCTTTATATTACACTCGCGATGGATCGTAGAGTCCCAGCGGAAGTTATTAGATCGTAATTTCGTAAAGAGGAAAAAAGGTATAATCTTTAAGATAAAGCCGACATCGTACCATACAATTTTCAAGTAAATATTGTAGAACGTTAAGAGGAATAATATATATATATATATATATATATACAATATATAGAGATGCGTAACGAGAGTCTGTGTCCATACTCAGAATTTTTACGCAACTCTATTATATTGATGATGATTGCCAATCGAGAATAATAAGTTTCGATGCGATCGAAGTACTTGTAAGTACTTATGCGCGTTTAATAAGATCGCGTTTATCGATTCTAGCGAGTTGTATAAAGATTGGTAATCGATTCTATAAACACATGCTAGTCAAAGTTAAGTACTATTGTAGCGATAATATATTTTTACTGTAAAAGGAAACTATCGCGGGCAGGTTGAAGGCTGGCCACGCGTTTCGCTGTACGGATAAGGGGATATAGTCCCCCCTTTTTTTCTCTCTTTCTCCTTATCATTTCACGTTCCAACGAATAAATTGAATCGCGATGCACGTGATAATCGATCGAAACAACGCTTCGAATTTTACAATATTACGAAGACACAGTAACGATTGCATTTATTACAAGACTTCTTAAATAACATAGCTTCTAGTCAATGAGGAAGAGGATCAAACTATTTAAAAAGACAAGGAAATTATTATATATAATAATTATTTAAATTCAGTCAGTGTATTCGCGCGCATTGCGATTCAATTGATCTCCGATACGGGAATCAGAATCCCTCCAGGCATTCGAGCTTGACGACGAAATTATTGGAATTGCTGGAAGCCAGGGGGACGCGTGCCAGTCTTCCAGCCTCGAACAACCATATCTAAGAATTTACTAACGATAATATTATTGATCACGAATAGCGAGTAAAAGGGTATTATATACAATATAATATGCTCTGTTTATAATTTCTGTACATATAGTCGGTGTGTGGCATTAGCGTAACCAAGGTTTCTTTATTTTGTGATCCGAGATAATCGTCGCTGGAGACGGAGAACGATTTTTACTTGTGTATATATATTATATATTATATACGAAGCAAAAGGAAAAATGGAATGGCTAGAAATCGATATACCAGTGTGATGAAATGCGCTCGAATCGTCTTTGGAGCCATTATCGCGTTTCGATTGATTTCGCTCGCGAGTTATCGTATAATTGCACGTTCAACGGTGCGATAATTAATTCTCGAGAAACAAAGAGGAGGAGAGGAGAGAAGAGAAGAGAAGAGACGAGGAGAGCGAGAGAGAACTGCGAGCGATTCGTATTGTCGTCGTCAGGGATTATTTATGCGATACGAGCAATCTGAAACGCTTTTAACTCACATATACACATACAAATTGTAGCATACAAAAACAACCAAAAAAAAAAAAAAAGAAAAAAAGAAAAAAAAGAAAAGCAAGAGATAGACTAAATTTATTCTCTCTCTCTGCGAACTTAAGTCCTGTTCTATATATACGTATTAGAGTTTTGCGATTGAGAGGAGTAAGTATCGTCTGCGCGTACTTACACGAACGTAACACGAACACAGATGCATAAGCAATTCGTTCTTCGTGGTTGTGTCGATGCTACCGACCCGACGAAAGTGCTCTCGATTGCACGCGATCGTAGCAATTACGGGTAAAAATGGGGGAAGTGCAATCGAGAGGGACGCCATCTTTCTGCACTCTTCAACTCTTTAAAGCGTCTCGTTTCTTTTTTGCGATATCGTTCGAATAAAAGAACGAACGTTTTAGTTCGATGAATCGCTAATGGCTACTTGATTCTTGGAGTGCAATTAAAAGGAAGTGAAGACAGGAAGCTTGTACCCGAAAATTTGAAATTTTAAGAGAATGATTCTTGAACTTTTTTTTTCAAAAATGTCAGTAATACATTATCATTCTTTATTAAGGTTAATTAGATTCTTGAAAAATTGAATATATGAATCTTATATTTTGCTCTGATTAACAAAAAAATTAATGTTAATATTCCAAAGATAAGATACAATTTACGATTTATCGTAACTTGCAATCTTTTCACTTGTTATTATTCTTTCTTGTTTTTTTTCAAGTACGATATTTGGGCAAATTCGTAATTCCATCTCTATAAATTTATATTATCGATTCTGACATTATAATACTCCTAAGAATGTTATAACATTAAGCTCAACTTGATATCATTTCTAATCGTTTCGAGCAATGCACTTAACACATGCAATATATATCCCCGCTTGTCAGAAGGGAAAAGGAAAGATGTCGAGTGCTGGAATGCGAGCGTTACTTGGACGAGATCGATAGCATCGAGCCACGAAGTTTTCTGTACATATTTCTCCCGTATACAGTCCGTTGATCACACAACCGATGATTCTGTGCGAATGAGAGAACGACAAAGATATAATGGAAGGAACACGTTGCTTACGTACGAATCAAGGGAATTGATTCCGCGTAAACGTTTCGCATGTGATGAACACCGTGCCATCTTTATTCAGCTGTTACTTCTAACTCACCCTAAAAACGGCATGAATTCGAAAGATAGATATGAAAAGACAAAGAAAAAAAAGGAAAGCGTGAATTCTACTAGATGATAAGGGCATACTTTTACCGAAAAGTACCGAGATAAGAAAATGAAGAAATCGGAATCCGTTTACTTTGACAATCCGTTCTCGACAAAATAAGAAAGGAAATATTCAGTTCGGACTGTTCGAATTCTCGAATATTCCGAAGGATATTCGAGAAAATGATCTTTGTTCAACGGGAAAAGATATTGTTTATAGGAAATTTTATATAAAAAGCCAATCATCAGAGATCGTCCTTCAAATTGTTTAGTTCTCCTTTCTCGAGCGAGGGAGGTTTTAAAAATTAGAAGAAAAAAATATGTAGAGAGGAGAGACAGAGTATTTTACAACGGTCAGAAGGAAAGTATCTGTTGTCGAGAGTTTAACGAGAAGAATATAATATAACATAAATGCCGCGTTTATTTTCGAAATCCTTATTACATATAGTATAAAAGTCGCCACAGTTCACATGGAGGGAATTCGATGGGTAAATAATGAAACAAATAATGAAATAAAAAATGATAAGCGAACCGGGAATTAACGTACCGGGCTATTATCCCACGTTTAGAACGCATTTCATCGGATGGAGAATGGAAATTCCAATCGATTTATCTTTTTTGAAGTTTTTTATAATCAAGGTAAGCGGGTGCGTGTGAATGAGCGATGGTGATCAAACAAAATCATTATTATATACTTCGTAAGTAAATTATAAAAGGAACTCATACACAGTTTGTAGCGACTCGAGTCACTGATTTATTAAAAAAGTAGAAGAAATAAAGAAATTAAAAAAGAAATTCTTTATCTTTCCTTTCTTCCCCTTCGTTGAAATTTTTATTTTAAAAGAAAAAACAAAAAAAAAAGAGAGAAAGAGAGAGAGAGAGAGAAAAGGATGATCGAGAAGATAGATTGTCGGATTGTGTAACAAAAAAGATTCGATTTATTGTTTGTAACGTATATTAAAACAGATGTATAATATATCGATAGAGCCAATAAAATCTACGATCGCGTTGTTCTTTAGTTGTTCACATTTAACTAGATTTTTGTTTCTTACAGATATACCTCACAAAAATACACTTCTCTTTGTTTGTAACATTCCTTATTCTTTACGGGAGCAATTATGAGTAATAAAAATATCGTTCAACGAATTCGATACGTTCATAATTACACGAACGTAATTCTCTTCGCGTTATTTATTTGTTTCCATTTATATTCTCGCGTTTAAATATGTATGTATCATTACTTTTATTTTTTTTTTTTTTTTTTTTTTTTTTTTTTGTTTTTTGTTCATCACAGATTACTCTTTCCCGAAAGAAATACGCAGGCCATAACGTTTGGAAACTTTCTTTCTAACAGTTTCTAATGCGATAAAATTCAATTGACGCGTGACGTGCCTTTCTTTCTTCTTATTCAATGGTCACCATATTATTACTTTTTCTTTTTCCAAATGAACGACGATATCCAGGATAAAGAAATTTCTATCTCCCAGAGTTTACTCGATTTACGTACGCGATATACGTACGTAACGATACGTATAATATATATAACAGTGTCAGCGATAAAAGTGCTCATCTCTTTCTTTTGTTATCTTTTTTTTCTTTTCTATGTATATAAAGAAACAAATACGTTAACAATTACGTAAAACGAGAGTAGCACGAATGTCTGTGTGTGTTTTTTTCTTTACTTATTATATATAATATACTGCATATTTTTACTTTCTGGCACAAAAGTTAATATTACGTACGGTAAGATCTGTACAAAAATAAGGAGCAGCATTTTAAGCGATTATTCTTGGGCGAAAATACGAGATTCGAGAAATTTTACTTTTTCCCTGTGTTTTTTTCCTAGTTAGTTCCTTCTAACGTGCTCGAGTAAACGTTCTTCGTTCTCTACTTTCGCTTGGTTTTCTTCGAAACGCGCTTTCCCATGCTATGGCTGTCCCTATAGTTGCACATTTAACAATTTGTTCAATTTCATTAAATCATATATACTTATTAGTGTGTGTCTGTGTATATATATATATATATATATTATATATAATATATTCTAAGATTTCCTATAAAAAAGAAGTTTCGTCGCATGGTGAATCAACAACCGTACGATTCGGCGAAATATTCGCAAGTTTTCTTTTATTTAAATATATATATCAATCCGTCGTAAAATTTCTCTAGTCGATTCGAATAATTTTGCACCATGTGTGATTATATTAGATTCACGAAATCGTACGGCTGACGCTACCCTAAAGTCTCCTATAAAAATAATACAACAAGCTTCGCTATGTTACCATATAAGTCGGTAGCCGTAAGATCTTACAATTATAACAAAATAATTAATATCGTTTACGCGGCAACAATCGATTCGGTAAATTGCATCTCTTTCTAATCTCTAAGCGTAAAGAGAATGTGATCTATCTTCGGTGTTCAATAGCTTGTACGAGAAAAAGTATATATTCCTGTAGACCAATAACGATTAATTGCTATATATAGGCAAAAACCTTTGCGAAATGGATTGACTAGCGATTATTAAAAAAAAAAAAAAAAAAAAAAAAAAAAGTTCTATATAAAATTGGGTTTACAACCCTCGAAAATTATGAAATCGGAGAAACGAACGAAAGAAGATGAAAGAGGTCGAAACTAAATTCGGATGGGCAAAGAACTAGTTACAATAATAAATGTGTAAGAAAAATAGTCGATGCTTCGTTTCTTGAACAATATTTTTTACAAGCCAACTATAACTACGGATAATCTTTTTTTATCGGAGCAACGTATCAAGATCGTGATATTAAATATCGCATGAATAATCATCGTGACAGTTGCTCGACATTATTATGTATTTTGGGTGTTACTTTTTTCGAAGTTTTTACCTTGTATTCCCCTTGTATTCGACGGTACAGTCACCCTCTTTCCAGGCGTTGAAGTCTCCAATCAATTCAATGGCACTTGCACTGTAAGGCTTATACAGTATATGTACATGATACAAGTACATAATGCCTTTTAAGGGTTTGTACATTTGATATTTAATCGTATCATCATTAGATATTATCTTTGGCTTTGAAGCGTCTTATATCTTTTCTTTCTTTTCTTTTCTTTTTTTTTTTTTTTTTTTTTTTTNNNNTTTTTTTTTTTTTTTTTTTTTTGTCTTTTGATCTTTCACCCCAAAATACATTATTTATCAGAAGCTCAATGAAAATATTCTGCGAAGATATTATACTTGTCCTTTTGATATATACTGTTATCTCTTTTATTATTTTAGTTTCACGATAAATTTCATTAATTTTTCTCTTCTTTGATTACTATTTTATAATTAGACATTTGCTAAATCGTTTTGGTCAGTCTATGTACATATATTTTTGTGTGTGTGTACATGTATGTGTGTATGTGATAAGACTGTATGATATTTTCGTAGATATTTCTCGTTTTTAAGACACAAGAGTAATTCCAGTCCACTACGCAAGGGAAGAATTTTAATCGATCAACGTGTTTAAAGGGAAATCGGGGAATCGAGAATCCCTAAAGTTGCGCTCAAAAAGTTACTTCGTTTATCGTAGTTCACTGGTTCTTTGAATAAAAATTAATTATTAACGGCGATATTAGTAAACCGATCGAAAATTACAATAGCTAGTAAATAACACCTCCCATGCAACACGATATAATAATAAAATTAATATATAATCATTATAATCGTTCGCTATTATATGTCTATACGACATTATTGTTTTTTTTTGTAAATTCAAGGTAAATTAAAAAACAAATTATAAAAAAACAATGGCGAAAAATCCTATTAAAAATTATCAGCCTTTACTGGCACGTTACAACTGAATTTGTTAAAAGAAAAAAAGAAAAAAGAAAAAAAAAAGTAAGATACAAAAAGTCGTATCGAACATTTAAAAAACATCATTTTACAGACATTAAAACTAGCCCTGCTTTTTATAACTATTCGAGACTAGACCTAAAATTGGCTATTAAGATAATTAAATTCTATCTTTTATTATCTTGTCATCTATCGTGTGTAGTCCCCTAAATATAATAATTTATTAGAATATATTATTCAATTAGTGAATAAATTTTTATAGAGTAATACGTATTAGATATGCAGCTATAAAATTAAAGTGCAAAATAGTCTTATTCTTTTACTTTTACGAATTTCGATACAGCATCGTCTAATAAACAGTCTTCCAACATAAGCATGCGTATCTTTTTTATTAAAAACGCTAAAATACCTGATAAACTTTCCTAGTCGATTTATCGAAATATAAATTTTTTTTCAATATAATGTGGGAATATGATCAAATAAAAAAATGTCTAAAATAGATTACTGATAATAAATAAAATATTATAGATTTACCTCCTCTTTAACTTCTGCCAATCATATACAGAATAGAAAAATATATCGTTAAGCTAGTTAATAAGAGATAAGAAACATACAAGGTTGTACGAAATCGTAAATCGGAACAACCTCATAATAGTATTCAAATGCCTCATTATTTCAAAGAAAATGCTGAATTCGAAAAACCTAAGATTCTATAAAAGGTTAAAATACACAGAATATATATACATATATAAAATGTATCCCACAAAATCTTTCTATCCCCCTGATGAATTACAACGTATTTGTAATTAGATGCGAACCAGCACATACAGTTATCTTCTTTTTTTCTCCTTTTATACGTAAATGCGTTTGATGTAATTACACTAATAGAGTTGATACTCCTCGAATTTTCGGCACAGCTTATCGATTTCTTCGTACCTAAATTGTGAGCCCACAGGGCTGGAAGCCCTAGTGGCAGGTGCAGTTCTACTACGACGTACAAAACTTCTTAAGGGTATTTTGCTATGTCCCTGATTATGATTCACATCTAATGTCGAATATCGTCTTAAAGCTCTGCTTAGTCGTTCCGACGGTGTATAGTCGGTCACTTCTAAGCTATGCTGATCCTTCAAAGTAGTTTTAGTCTCTTTTGTATCCAACATTTTTAAACTAAAATTTGCAGAATGTCGTTTAGTCCTGTCCAGCATACACTTTGTTTGGACAATTTTAGGCTTGTCTTTATCCAATATCAATGAGTTTCGTCGTTTCATTTTATCGTCCATTGCCCTTTCTTGATTCACGCTATATCCAAACCTCGATCTCATCACAGGTCCAAGATATAAGTGATCTTTTTTATCTTGCTGTTGATTCTCCTTCACTAAACTCAAACCATCTTCATAATCAATCGATCGTAATCGTATACCTTTCATATGATTAGTACCATTGGTTCTTCGTTTTATACCATCTTCATACTCGGCCGAAAAATTTCTTTTAGGCTTTCCTTTCTCGAAATTTATAGAATTCCTTTTAGTCCTGTCTAACGTACACTTTGACTGTACAACTTTCGGCTTGTCTTTATCTAATATTAACGAATTTCGTCTTTTCATTTTGTCGTCCATCGTCCTATCTTGATTTACACCGAATCCAAATCTCGATCTTATCAATGGACCAACATATACAGGATCTTTCTTACCAAGCTGTTGATTTTCCTTCACCAATCTTAATCCATCCTCGCAATCGATGGAAGTTCTGGCATGGTTAGATTGATCAGTATTGGTTCTTCTTTTTATACAATCTTCGTATTCAACGGAAGAATTTCTCTTAGGCTTTCCTTTATCGAAATTCATGCCAGTAGGCCGAATATGATTGAACGAGGTTCTTCTCTTACCAAATATGGAATCTTGTAAATGTGGTATCTTGGAAGTACTCTGAGAGAATTGCACCGGAATCCTGATACCAGCATCCACAAGGAATTCGTCATCCGACAGCATTACCGGTATCTCGGGCATAGAGCTACAAGGCCAACAAGAGTTATAGTGAGCTGCAAGCGTTCTTACAGTGGCAGTGTCCTTGCTGGCAATGTTAGTGGAAAATTCGCGAGCATAATCTCGAGTTAATAGAAAATTTTGCTGCGATCTTCGCCGATTTTCTCTCATGATCGCCAAAAAAACAGATTTTGCATAATCGGACGAGGGACAAGAATGAAAAGTATATTCTTCCCCATAATTGCATTCACACGTTTCCGGCCACAATATAAAGGGCAATGATAATTTCGATCGGCTTTGCTGAGTCTTTTGCATTAGATAATCACTGCACGATCCATTGTCAAAGTTAGTATGGGTTGTACTAATATTTGAGTTGGTATACCCTATTCTTTCCCAAGGGTGTGTTAGTTGAATTCTGTTAGATGCAAAGCATGCAGAATTTGATATTAGGTTTCTGCTGAAATTGTTAACTAAACTAAAAGATAGAGAGAGAGAGAGAGATTCACAACTTTATTTTTCGTCAGTTCTAAAGAGTCTATCTTTTCTATTCGAATATTAGTTCTATTCGAATGTTAGTACAACACTTATAATTAAAGTTACTTTTATTTATAAAAATATATATATAATGAATAAATAAATATATAACTTATGTACCTTGTTTTTAATGATTCAGTTGATGGACGAGGAGAAGTTATGCTATCTATAATAAATATTGTTAATTTTAATTACTATTGTATAAAGTAATCTATATTTGAATGATAATAACGAAAAACAAATACAATTACCTTTGGAGGTTGTTTGCGGCCTGAAAAAGGAATAGAATAAAAAACATTAAATTAATTTAAAATGTAATTAAATTATTACATAGTCAAATTGATTACATGAATAGATATTCAAATTATAATATATACTTACGCTTTCGAGGAATCAGCTTGTCGCCATACGCCTATAATTAAAATATTTTAAATATTTTAATCAAAAATAAAATAAAATAAAATAAATGAAAATAATTTTAATAATAATTTAGTAATAATACATTGAAATTTTTTTTCACATACCTTTTTTCGGAGCTGGGACTTTTCCAATTGCTATTCCTGATATTTTCTTTTCTTCTTCAAATTTTCTATTATCTTCAATTTCTTGTTTTGAAAGTACTCCACTTGGCTGAAACAAAATTTTTTATATAAAAATGTTCTGCATTAATACATTGAATTATAAATAATATTACTTACAGTTCGGGTTTCATATTTAAGTACTGTCTCGTCCAATTTTTTTATAACAATTGTTAATGAATTTAATACATCTCTATCTTTTTCGCTATTTATTAAATGCGTCACCGTTGTTTCTAATATAGTTAACAATTTTTTATCAGCCGGTATTCGGAGGAGACTTTTTAATTGAGGCATCAAATTAACTACTTTCATTCTTATGTTAGCTATATTATCTTCAGCCAAACTTAATAAAGTAGTATAAAAATGCTCCTTGAAATAAGTAGAGGAGAAAATTTCTAAAGCTTTTATCATTATACGAACAAACATCATTCTCGAGTAAGAATTCGTATTATTGGCCAATTCTGAACATAATTTAGTACGAAGTTCTACTCTTTGCGCAGATTTTATGTTATAACGTAAAAATATAAGATATAGATTTCCCGATGAGAGACGAATAGGTATTGCCCTCTGAAAGTTAAAGATAAAAAAATTTGATTGTTGTATATTATTGCAAAAAACAAAATATATAATAACGAATTTATATTCAAAACTTACAGCATGTAATATTCTGAAAAAAGCCATTGGCACAAAATATGAATATATAAAATCACTTGGAAAATATTTAGGCAATACTTCAAACTGTGAATGTATTAAAGATACTAATCTCCAATTATGTGTACCTGCTATTTCTGATTCACATTTCAATAAAGCTCTACCTATTTCCATAACAATGGAATCCTATATTTGACAAATGGAATTATATAAATAAAATAAATATATTTCGTATAATTATTATAAAAAAAGCATACAAACCATTTTATCTATGCCGATAACGTGACTTTCAACCAAACATTCAAGAATTAATGCTATATGAGGAACTATACCTTGTAAAACTTCTTCAGAATTATCTTTTAATAATTTTATTAGATCTGTTTTTATCCGTCCACTTTTTGGACCCAATACTTTGGCTACCTGTATAATGATTTTCAATAGAAAATTTTATGTCATTTTTAAATTGTAAATCATAAATTCTTACTTCATGAATTCCACACGCTACAGTTCTCCGAACCAAATAGTAATGATCGCTTGCCAATGCAGTGAATGTAAGAAGCAATGAATCTGTATCATCTGGAGAATTCGATACAAAAATGAACATTGCTGGAAGATTAAATGCGCAACATCTTCTGCATTCCACGTATTTCTCGTCTTCGTCAAGATCAATATCCATCTAGATTCGTATTTTGAATGTAAAATGTATATTATAAAATACATTCAATTTTATGTTTTTATACTTACAAATGGAATATGATGCTTGGATTCTTTCCTCATTATAACAATGCCCATTTGTGCAAGTTGTTGATAATATTTTAAAAACCATGTTTTTTCCGCGGGTAATAAACATTCTAAAATATCAATAGAAAAATGAACATATTGTGATTGCAAAAACAAAATTTCAATTAAGAAATCTTACTTTCTAGGCCAAGTACAATTTTTCCAAATTCTTGGGAAATTATACATATCACGCTATTGTCGTGATATATAGACTGTGAAGTTTCACATAATTTTTTAACAAGTGGAACTATGATAGTTTTTATTGTTTCTGTAAATAATTGTTATCATATTTTTATCTTGATAAAATACTTGAATTTTAATTTAAAAATTGAAATATATTATTATAGAAAATTTGAAATGCTTATGATGCATAACTAATCATTAAGCATACCTTCTTGAAAATAAGGTAGCAAATACGCTATTGTTTCTACAGCGGCGCATCTTACATTGCTTTCTTCATCACTTGCTAATTCTACGAGAGATGGTAGCAAAGAGGTTTTTAGAGTGTCAACGTTAAGGCCTTCAGCAACGAAACGTAGCTGCAAGCAGATATTAGCTCGTACTTCACTATTTACATCCTGACAGAGGGAATGTACCATTGGTAGAACTTCCTTCTGTATCCTGATAACAATTTTAATACGTATACTTATTTAATGACTTTGTTGAAACAAATTTCTTTGAATAATTTTATTTACTATTAAATTTTAATATGTTTAATCTTTCATTTAGAAATATTGTTGCTGATATAAATTGATTAATAATAAAAATATTAATATTAGAATTTGATAAGATGAAACATACTCACAGACCAGATTCAAATCTTGTACAAATCTTTCCTAATATCTTGCTGCATATTATCCTTGAATAGATAGGCTGTGATAATTGCCCTTTGTTTAGACTCAATGGAAGTATCTGTATAATTTTATTACTATTATCATTCATATGATATTACATTAATTTCAATAATGTTCAAATTTTAAGAAATATAATTATATCATTGATGTTAAATAGCATTTTTTTATAACAAGTGAATTTTAATTAATAACTTGCTTAATCTTGCCAAATAAAATAAAAATAAATCAATTTTATTTTTTACTGAAGTACTATAATCATATTATAAGATTGCATACATGCTATAAAAATGATTATACATTTGCCCTTCTAAATGACAATATTTTCTGAATATCAATTTCTAAGATCATCTATACAAACCTGCTTTCTTATGGTTTCTATCGGCAGTAACTCTATCACATCCAGTAAGGTCTCCAGCCATGCATGACAGATAACTTTAAATGTACATATATACATATTTAGTTATAGAAAATAATACCAAATGCATGAAACTGTTTAACTAGCAAATCTAATGGATAAGCAAAAACAATTTCTTTACCTGGATCACGCTTTTCAAGTGAATCTAAGATACTTTGAAGGAATGTTCGACTAAAAACATTATGGTTGACAAGTTTCTGTTCTAAAATTGTTTTGAATGTACTTGAAGCTGCAATGTGAAATTCCGTAGATGCAGTAGCTAATGACTGCTGCAGTTTTGGTATTACACGTGTTATACATGATTCTGTTTCTGTAGCTAACAGGTTTGGTAATGATTGTATAAAATTAAGTTTTTGAATTTCATCGCCTTTCCTGAAATAATTATACATATAACAGCAAACAAAACAAAGCAATAGTTAATTAATAAAGATAAATTATAAAAATAATGATTTATATTATTTATATTCTAAATTTTCTATTATTTCAAATAAATATTCATTATTCATTATTATACAGAGAAAAAATTTTATTAAATTTTAAATTTAAAAAAAAATTTATTTATGAAGCATGAAATTTTCTATAATCATTAAATTTTTATAAAAATAATCCCATCAGCCAATTATTTTCCTTAAATGTATGCAATTTTCAAGGACAAAAATCTTTACATAACATATCCTTTTGAAGCATGTGACAATGTTTTCACTGCTATAGTATACATATATGAATACATTGTTGCATTTTTACAATTTTTATTTTTCATAAATTGTCATTATCATAATAAAACATTCATTATTATAATGTTATTATATAAAAAAGAAAAAAGATCAATAATAGTATCAAATTTTTAAATAACCTACACTTTGAAATTTTATTATTCCAAACAAGGTCTTAGCTAATTGCTTACGATAGAATGTCATTTCTTACGAGTGTCTTTAAAGGACTATAATTAGCTACGCTTAAACGACAGGATAGTATACTTCTTGAACGACGCTGTGATATTTTTAGAAATCGTGCATGAGTTCATACGAAAGAGAAACAGCCGAAAGGAAAAGACGGATGATATATCGAACAATAACGAACTAGATTTACTAACTAAAAAATCATTTTCTATCCAACTGCTTACCGAGGAGATGTGCTCTTGTATAGAGCTTCCTCTTGCAACATTTTCAAAGTGCATCTTATTTGACGAAAACACAATAAAGGAGCGAAGACGAGATTAATTTTTTTTTACATGGATGTTACACGCGTACGCACTCTCATGACGCACTTGACGCAAGAAAAACAACACAACGGAACGTAGATGACAACTAAACTGGGCTCCTACTAGTCCTACTCCAAAGTATCGATTATATGTGACTTGTCGTACGAGACGTCGAGTATTTCCGAGTTTAGCCGGAACAGTCCGAACACAGCCTACGTACCGATGAAAACACGTAATGCTATGTCGCGCGTAATACAATAGAGCGATGCGTTGATCAGTAGTCAACGTTGTGTAATCGACAAACCGATGTAGTCATGTCACGATTCTTGAATGATGATGCATATCGTTTTAAGATACATTATTTGCATATTTCTGAAAAAGAATACTGCTTAAATCGCAGTATTCTTTATAGCCTATTACGCAACTCCGTGACACGAAAATCTACAGCAATGGAGACGAGTTTTTTTACGAGTTCGTAAATTTGTAAACTTTCATCGAGTATACTAATCTTTTTTTTATTTATTTGTTAAAATTTAATTGAATAATAATATGGACATGTGTAGTTAATATAATAAAATTAATTTGTGTATTATATATATAATCAGACAGGATTACATGATTTAATTCAAGATTCTATATAGTATTATTTCTCGAATCACTATGCGCAAAATTATTACAATTAAATCAAGCCTAAATATCAATTTTGTGAGTACTAATGACAAAATTATTTTCACTTTCAGAGAAAGTGAATCATTATTGTCTCAGATTTATCATCAACAAATGTACATATAACCTTTATTCACTTACGTCAAAAGATGAAGTGCTCTTTCTATAGGTTTTTTTTCCAAATTAGGATCTAAAGTGTGTTTCTTTAATTGCTCTTCATTCTAGAGAAGGAATTATAAATCGATCGTTTTAGAAATGTTCTACTTTGAATGAAATGAATATGAATAATGTGCACATAATGTTACTTACTCTTATATCAGGTATAGGCTTGTCTAATTGAAGGCTAGCAAATTCCTCATAGTCCATAAACATGATGCACGCATTTTACGATGAATGCTGTTAACGGATATAACCCCATTTATTTGAAAGAATTGATCAGAACAGGAAACGCATATTCAGGTGATATCTCGCACGGAAGTAAAAAACACGATCGTTCGCGATGGATTTCAAGAATGATTATTGAAATTCTACATGTAGATGCTCCTATAGGAAATTCTTGAAGATGCAGGACGCAAGAAATGAATATTACCGAACACACGCAATTGTATAAAATATGAAATATATTTACTTTTCATAGTATGTCGTATAATTTAGATAATATACGTACTTTACGGGCATTGCATAGAGTTTATCATATACGTTTAACAATATAAAAGATTACAGTTTACATTAATATATACAGAAGAGCGAAAGATTTGGATCATATTTGAACAGCGCCATTGAACTTTCGCGTGTATCTTATAGTTTCAAGATAATCGCTTGTATCCTCATACGAAGCACAATTATATGTTCTACAATTTATATGTTCTAAGTTTAAAAAATATAAAACAAAATGTGATAATTATTAATAACAGAGAGAGAGGGAGGGGGGGAGAAGAGTATGAACTATTCAATCGTAATTTTTATTCCGCAGTGAATAAACTTCTGGTTAAAAGACAAAAAGGAAGCGGGAAACACAATGTATATAGAATGAAAAAGGAAACGCGATGATGCAGTCAATGCTGTTTTCTTATTGCGCGGAACGTATTAGCAAACGTGAAACAATCTCGAAATTACGAGACATTTCGATAAAGAGATGTGCGTTTGGTTAAAAGTATTTAAAAAGATAATGTTAAAACAACGAATGGAAACAAACCTCACTCCACCTTTCTTGATTCGACTGCAATAAAATTTAAATTTTATTATCGCGATTCGTTCCACAGATATTGATGTCTGAAAGCAGTTTGCATTCGAATATCTATGGAAATATTTTTTTCTCTCTGCTCGCATAGTATGCGTATTTTACACTTTATATATATACACATACATATATATATATATATATGTATATATATATATATATATTTTTCCTTTATTCTTATTTTTTACAAAAATTCTTCACGTAAGAAAAGAAATTACGAATAATATCATTTCGACGCAAGTCTTGTCCGCTAAAGCTTACATTTAACAATAAACGTTTCTATATGAATGTCCAATAGAGAGAGAGAAAGAAAAAAAAAAAAAAAAAAAAAAAAAAAAAAAAAAAAAAAAAAAAAAAAAAAGGAAAATTTATTATTAATTAAGATTCGTTAAGGAAGCACCCTGAATCACTGTATAACAGTTAAGTCCTATCGCTAAAAATCGCGAACAATCGATAGCGTTTTGTGACTTACACAATGTGCTTATACAACTTATATTTCTAACATAATCTATCGTAAATTTACATATTTTAACGAAATGAACAATCAAGCGATGTTATAATGTATTTCTTCGTTCCATGCAATAAGATATTATATGTACATCGCTATTGTTCCCGATATCATACATACGTTCCAGTTTGGACTAGTTTCAGCCGTAATGAGACCACATATATACGAGCCAACGTGTATCCATGATCTCGACTTGCGACTTTTCGCTTCTTTGATTCTCGAGGTGCCAACATTTACATATACACAGTGCGCGTGTGCGCGTACACATACACACACATACACACACATACACATATACATGCACATGATACCTACACACACAATATACAAGCGACCACAATTCTATGGCTCCTCGTTTTTTTTTTTAAACGTAACTCTCGTCGTCAACTACGGATCTTCCGTATCCTAGATGTCTGGTAGTAACCGAGGCACGAGGTTGAGGAGGCGGACGATAAGGAGGCGGTGGTGGTAAAGACCTTGACCTTCCGGCCACTTTGTGCCTGTCTTCCAGATTCATGTGCACTGGCGGCAGATGCCTCAATCTCGGGGGAAGCGGTGGTGGTGTATCTGGCCACGTTCTCTCTTCTTCGTCGTCTTCGTCACCGTACAAATCGATTGCCTCGGCCTGCTTGAAAGAGTACAAATCGTTTCTCTCTCTCGAGCCATATATCTCGCTCGTTCTATCCCTGTTTCCGTAGATACTACTTTCAGATTCGTATCTTTCCGTACGTGTCGTCTCTTTATTCACGTATATCTCGCTCTTCACTTTCTTAAACTCGTAGAGATCGCTACCCGAATGATAGCTACCGTTCTGAGAGACGGGTGATTCGCGATTAACATACATTTCCGACTTGACCTTTTTGAACTCGTTGAAACGTTCCTTCTTGAATTCGTATCTGTCACTAGTCAACGTCGTATCCCCCGACAGATCCTGCTCCGAATTGTGAATCGAGACCCGTTCCGTACAAATATCCTGCTGCGTTGCTCTTTCGTATTCAGACCTAAGATCCCGCGTAATGTCCAGCTGGGAGTTCCTGTAAATGTCCTTGCAATTCTCTACGTTCTCCTTCATGGAATCTTGCCTGAGATATTCCCTTCCGTAGATATCCTTCTCGTCGAACCTGTCTTTGCGATGATCATGTTCGTCCAATTTGGTCCTCGGTGTTCTCTTCAGTTGTGCCCTTAACCAATCTTGTCTTTGGAAATTCGGATTAGGGTAACCGATACTGTTTTTCTCCTCTCTGAAATTATGTTCCACGGTATTCGGATGATGATTATTCGCCGTGTAACCGTTTATTCTCTCCTCCCATCCACCGTAAACACGTATATACGATTTGTTGGTGGATTTGTCCTCCTTGGTGAGAGACTTGTCGAAGCTGGATGACGAGGCATTCACGGCGGAATCCTCGGAGCCGACAGGAGACTCTGGGATGAAGAGTTGACAATCTGACAAGGTCAGACCGGAGTCTCGAGAAAGAGACATATGATCCTTGCGTGGTGGTTCCGTCAGGTCCAGGCTGTCCAGAGAAAGCCCACCTGCTGCAACGAAAGAAATTCCTCAGTGGATTATCTATACACTCGTTCACGAATTGAACGATAACGAAACGATATATTATACGTTCCATCTTGGACTTTTAAAGTAAAAAGAAATAAGAGTAATAAAGAAAGAGGAGAGGAAATAAGATAAAGTGAAGTGCTCACAGTGAAGGCTATCGGTGCTTTCCTCGGCTCCACTGTCGCTGCGTTCTTCCCCGAAAAGCTGTGTGACGCCTTCGCCGAACAGAACCTCGCAATGACGAATCAACATTTCTGTCAGCGTAGGTATCGCTCTACTTTGATTCACAGATGGATTCGGAGACCAGAGTAAACTAGGTCCACAACACACGCCCAGATTACTGGCGCACATAAGATTGTGCTTCGACCGCCGTGCCACATGGTGCAAAACGCAGATTAAATGCGACAGCAGGGTATAATTAGCTTTGGGTAATCTATCTAGAATACTGAAAAATCATCATCATTTTCGTTAAACATCAATTCGAAAAACTTAAACGTTGAACAAAGATATCCATTATGGTTACCCACTTTTTAATAGTTTGAACAGGATTTATTGTTTCCAAACTTTCCATCCAGAGAGGAAACAGGTGGGAAGTTAGCAAAGGATCCGGTAAAGATCTCAAAAAGTCTTTGAGCAAAGCCGCCACCGCTATGATAGGAGCATCTTCCAAACAGCTTGGGTCACCCGTGGACTCGATTTGATCTCGTAGTTCTCGTACAATTCTCACGTTTGCCGATTTTCTAAAGATCCCCTGCGTAAATGGCCCCTTGGCGAACAGTTGTTGAAGCATGACCAGCACAGGTTTAGGTAATCCGTTCTCGTCGAGTCTGGACAGATTGACACCGAATAAACTCGGATTCAACGAAAGGGATCTCCTGAGCAATCCAGTGATCTTCGATTTATTCTTCTTCACAGGCGATTTTGGTACCGGCCTTAATATAAAGTGGCACGTGTCGTGGCCACTTTTGTTACAATGTTCCAGATCGAAACCCTCTTCGGCGGACAGGGTGTGCCGTAGATTCGACAGTTTGACAGCAAAAGGCCTCTCGTGCCCTATTAACGGATATGGCGCCTCGTCCGCGGACGTTCTTGCCCACAATTGAAAAGGTCCTTGAAGATCCAACAGGCGCGTGGCCAAATTGACGCAAGCTGCCGCTGTCATTTCGGAT